TGAGACAATTTTACTTTTCTTTAAATTTAGAATACTTAAATTACTATTTCGTGTCAAAAAAAGACCAGAGTTTTGCAAGTCGACGTATCAAAACATTGCGTTTATTTTTATTTTGTCACGACTCCAAGGTCAACAACATAAAGTATATATATATATATATATATATATATATATATATATATGTGTGTGTGTGTGTGTGTGTGTGTGTGTGTGTGTGTGTGTGTCTGTGTGTGTCCTAAATTTCTACAGGCACACATTTGTGTATTCAACCGAATCACTTTGAAGAATAATGGGAGGATTGCTTGTTAGATAAATGGGAAAGTCACGTTATTGTGTCACTGCCAACAATACATCATTTTTCATTTATCTTCTCCACCTCAAGTCCTTCATTTTTTTTTAACTTCTTTTGTTGTCTAATTTAGTATAATATCAGTTGGCATGTTCAGCAAGAACTTTAAATTTCGACCTTGACAGGAATAGCATCGGTATTTCTGTACAGTAAAATGTGCTATGAAATATGCCCAGACAAAAATATATTTCTATGTAGAGAAATGCACAAATAACGTCATCAGAAATATGATTGAATTTTTAACTCTTAAGAATCCAAATGCAAGTTATCTCTTCTCAATATTGCAATCTTAACACAGCCATGAATAATTAGGATATTTATCTCCAGGTCAAGACGCTTTTATGACTAAGCTTTGTATTGTAAAGCCATAAATAGCCCTAAGTAGAGTTTGTCGTCTTTTTATAAAAGCGTGTACCGTGTAATAAATACTAACGTCATAACGTTACTACCACAGGTTCCAATAAGAAAGCAACATTGATAACAATATCGAATTTAAATTTTCACTTTTAATCCGGGGAGATTGACCCTACACAACCAAAGATATCGAATGACAATTTTATTATTTTTTAAAGAAGGGTTCCCTTCACCATTATTGGCTAAATGAATACACGATACCGTTAATTCATGGGATGCACTTCCTTGAATTGGTATGTTAGGGGGCGCTTTGATGAAAAATTGCGGTTTTAAGACTTGAGACAACTTTAATTTTCTTTATATTTAAAATACTTAAATTACTATTTCGTGTCAAGAAAGACCAGAGTTTTGCTAGACGACGTATCAAAACATAAATAAATAGAAGTATAGTAGAGTTTGTCGTCTTTTTATAAAAGCGTGCACCGTGTAATAAATACTAACGTCATAACGTTACTACTGGCATAGGATCCAATTAGAAATCAACAATGATAACAATATCGAGAATTAATGTGTATGATAAACGGTATAAATATGTGGTGTGATATAACATTTCATTCTTACGAAAATAGATAAGAAAAAATAGTGGAAAATTAAACCTTATTTCATTGCCGCAGAACATTTGTTTACTTCAGGGCGTCGCTCTAAGTACGATTTTTCGCCCAAAAAACGCATAGCATGAAAAAAAGGCCCCAAACTTAATAAAAACAAAGTTTTATCGTGAAAAAAGTTTATGTTATTATTAAGAGGAAAGACCAAGGTATTTTTTAATTATTTTTTAAATTTTTTATTCCTTTGCAGCATGTTTTAAATTTAAGTTGAAAATTTAGGTAATATTTAGCATTAGTTGGTTTTTAACTGTTTTTCAGTTGAAAAACACATTAATTTGGAAACTCTTGCAAAAATCAAGTACTTGTCGGATTTTAATGAAACCTTTAGAACTTATTCACAAATGAATGAAATTATTTTAGAAATATTTGTCTCTTCGAAAGTCATGGTATAAATATTTAATTTTTGTGAAAACTTCAAAAATTTTATTTGCAACCTCAATTTTTTAAAATTAAATCCACAAGACTCTGAAGAATGTAAAATCATTGATTTATTTGGTAAAAAAATGCGCAAAATTGTCCAAACTTTTACCTCAATTGTAAAAATACAAAACCAAATAAAACTAAGACAATATTTAATTAAAAAAAGCTTTTAATGGCTTTTCTGAATAACATATACTAAGGTAATTTTCATCTGAAGGAAAAAATTTTTTTTGATGAAAAATGAATTTTTACAATAATTTTTTCTTTTTTTCAATTGTAAATACATAATATGATAAAAGGTTGTTATATATTTTAAAATTAAGTTTCAAAAAGAAACTTAATGGAAATGACATATTATGTTCTCTACTTTTTAAAGATCATAAATTTAAAAACTTATTAAAATCTGAAAACCGCGTATATTTTTAAAATAATTTTATTAATATTCCAAAATCATCTCCGACAAAAGTATGGATGCACAGCTTTGAAATAATGTCACGTAAGGTAGAGTTGTTTCCCTTGATAGAAGCCAGTTGTTTTTACTTCAGAAATTGCTTTGCATTCGTTCAGTTAACAACTCAACAACACTTGTCAAGTTTTCTGACTGAATATCGTTGCATTTTCAAAATTTTTCTTTTCAATTTTCAAACAATTTTTCCTTTTTCAGTGAGACAAACTGCAAATATTATTTCCTTTTCTTATTATTTTAGATTCAATTTTAGGCACGAAAACAGCGTAATGGGTTTATTCTCAGAAAAATATTTCATAACTGATACAGCTGTTTAAAACGCTTGTTTTTATTTTTGTCACATGAATACGGCGAAAAAAAACAGTCATCTGCTAAGTGTTGTTGTCATCACCCCAGGTATTAAAAAAACAAAACAAAACAAATCACATCAAGCCATTTTTCAAACGTCAGTTTGAAAAAAACAAAAAACTTATTGTTGGGTCAACAATAAGTTTTTTTTTTTTGTTGTTTTTCAAACTGACGTTGACCCCCACCCCCTTTTCTTCACTCTTTGTTCTAATCTGGGAGTGGTGGGTTTACAAGCTGGTGACAAATGTTTATTGCTAGTTGGCTGGCCATTGACCCAAATATATCAAAGTCAGTTTGGCTTAATTTTTCCTTATCACTGCTATTTTTTTGAGAAAAAATAAACGCACCGGTTTCCGGTGGTTAGGAATTGCAGATAAATCTATCACCTTTTACTAAACAGTTCCGTGGCCAGGTGTCAATTTTTTTAACCCTTCGCGGCCATATAATTGAAAATTACCAATGGACTTTGTTGCATTTTGACCCCCTAGGAAAGTTGTTTCCTTCAAATTCAATTTTAATGCCCGATATATAGTTTGATTATGATTTAATCTTTCTGATTTTCCAAAAATAAAAATGGTTAATTTCCCTCTCCCTCAAACGTAAGGTAAAAAAAAATTTGGAAGTGTATTTTATATACAGTGACACGCATAAGTATTGGATACATGTTATTTTCTGTTATAACTTTCGTTTATGTTCGCCATTTTGCCTGATATTCGGTAAGTAATATCTCGTAAAGTTGTTTTAGTTGTATGTGGAAGGGAAATTAAAAACTCATGGTTGAATCCATTTTTTTATCCAGGAGCCATCCTGTTACGCCTGTCTAGCAGAGATCCACGTGGGCAACTGATTGAAACGAGACAAATGACGTATATTACACCCTCGTCAGATAAACTATTCTTGAGTAGGGAAGACTGCATAGATCTTGGCATTATAACAAATGACTTCCCTACCCTGCATGTTACGTACAATTATAGTGCCGCCAGCATAGATGGGACAGATAAATCATCATGTGGATGCCTAGTACGCCGACCCCCGCCACCAGCGCCAACCACACTGCCATTTGCAGCAACAGACGAGAACTCTGAAAAGCTGCAGCAGTTCCTCCTCGATTTTTATGGTGCCAGCACACGTGTGAACACCAAACACTACCAATGATGGACTGTCCACCTCTGAAGCTGATGGTGAACTCAGACGCCGGTTCCAATTCATTGGCGGGATGACGTCAAAAAGGGACTTGATCGCGATGTGAAAGTGGGTGTCATCGAGCTTGTGCCCATTGGCGAACCCGTCACCTGGTGTCACAGGATGGTGATCTGCGCAAAGAAAAACGGCCAAGCCAGACGCACCGTCAATCTCCAAGCTTTGAATGCCCACGCAACTCGTGAAACGCACCAAACACCATCGCCATTCCTTCAGTACCCACCTGATAAAAAGAAAACAGTCCTTGATGCTTGGAATGATGAGGAGGATCGCCATCTCACTACATTTATTACCCCTTGGGGTCAGTATCGCTACAGGACGGCACCACAAGGCTATATTGCGTCCGGCGACGGATACACGCGGCGATACGATGAGATTGTCGCAGACATTCCAAACAAGACGAAGAGTGTGTTGATGATGCTCTACTGTGGGCCGATAATCTGGAAGATAGTTTCTTTCAGACCGTAAATTGGCTGGATATCTGTGGGAGAAATGGCATTACGCTGAACCCAGATAAGTCTATATTCGGAGCGGATATAGTTGAATTCGCTGGATTCGAAATTACAAATAAAGATGTCCGTCCATGTAGGAAGTACTTACAGGCAATTTTAGACTTCCCGACACCAAAAACATCACGGATGTGCGTTCATGGTTTGGCCTAGTTAATCAAGTCTCCTACGCATTCAGCATGGCGGACCGGATGCTACCCTCCCGGGAGCTACTCAAACCTGGCATTCAATTCAAGTGGAACGAGGATCTAGAGGCTCTCTTTCAGGAGTCCAAAGTGGCAATCACTGCTGAAATTTAACATGGTGTCCGCATCTTTGATCCAAATAAACCAACCTGCCTGGCGACTGATTGGTCAAAGTCCGGCATTGGATTCTGACTCTTACAGAAACAATGTTGCTGCACTAAAAAGGAGCCTCTCTGTTGTCGCTTTGGTTGGAAAGTCACACTAGTTGGTAGCCGGTTCACGCACGCAGCAGAATCACGGTACACGCCAATAGAAGGTGAAGCCCTTGCCGTCGCTGATGCCTTAGACAAGGCTAGATACTTCGTCCTATGTTGCTCAGACCTCATAATTGCAGTCGACCATAAACCACTACTAAGAGTATTCCTCGACCGATCACTTGAGGATATCTCAAACACGCGCTTAAGAAATCTCAAAGAGAAGACATTACGCTCCAAGTTTAAAATGGTACATATCCCCGGAGTGAAACATCGTGCCGCTGACTGCCTATCACGCTATCCGACAGGCGAACTTGTGAAACTCATTTTGACGGATGACCTGTCATCGATTGCCTCGAACAATGACGCTTTCCGACACCCGACCCAATCACTGCCTGACCTTAGGGTGTACGACACCACTGAGAGTGATATCGAGGAGTGTGTGATTGCAGCCGCTACCACATCACTAAATGCATTAAACCTCAAGTCAGTCACATGGGACAGAGTGCGCACCGCCACTGCCAGCGACGAAGATATGCTAGTATTGACTGAGCTCATAGAATTTGGCATGCCAGAATTCCGCCATGAAATGCCAAACTCCATTCGCGAGTATTTTCAGTTCCGCGATGATCTGTCTACTATAGACGGCGTCATGGTTTATAAAGACCGCATCGTTAGCCCACCATCTCTGCGAGACGAGGTGCTCTGCGCCTTGCATTCAGGAGTAACCTCTATGATCGCTAGGGCCGAATCATCTGTATTCTGGGCAGGTTTACCCCTGCTATTGCAGCACTCCGTGCTAGCTGCCTGCAATGCAATCGCAACGCACCATCTAATCCTAGCGTTCCACCAGTCCCTCCAACGAGCCCGGAATACCCTTTCCAGTGTCTCTGTGCTGATTTTTTCACATGCAAAGGAAACCACTACTTAGTTATCGTAGATCGTTATTCCAACTGGCCAATATTTGAAAGGTCCTCAGATGGGGCTCTCGGACTCATCTCCTGCCTCAGACGTACTTTTGTAACTTATGGCATACCCGTTGAGCTGGCCTCTGACGGAGGGCCTGAGTTTACTGCTACCATCACTCAACAGTTTCTAGCTGATTGGGGTGTTCACCATAGGTTATCCTCAGTAGCATTCCCTCACAGCAACTGCAGAGCAGAGCTCGGCGTTAAGACAGTAAAGCGCCTTCTTATGGACAATACAGGTCCCTCCGGAACCATTGACATGGACTCATTCCAACGTGCAATGCTGCAGTATAGGAACACACCGGACGGAGACACAAAGTTATCTCCGGCGATGTGCATCTTTGGCCGTCCTATTCGAGACTTCATACCCATAATCCCGGGAAATTATAGACCTCATGAAACGTGGCGCAGCACATGGAAAACACGTGAAGAGGCCCTGCGGGACCGCCACATAAGGTGTGCTGAGAGATTATCGGAGCATACCAAACGGCTGCCACCACTAATCGTCGGTGATCATGTGCGGATTCAAAACCAAGTTGGACCGTATGCAAGCAAATGGGATAAAACTGGGGTAATCATCGAAGTTCGACAATTCGACCAATACGTGATAACCGTTGATCCTCTGGTAAGAGAGAGACATAATAGTAAGATTCTCAATCCGAGAAGAGTGACACTCCGGAATAGAAAATTCTTACGGAAGTATGTCCCAGTGCAACTCCCTCCCTCCCTCAAAGCTGACAATCGATAATGACATTCGTATACGTAATACGGCTCCTACTTTGACGCCGACAATTCTCTCGAATGACGTCACAACAACATCACCCCCCCCAACTCACAGAAACCAAGAACCCCATCGCTTCTGACCCCCCTGCCCAACCGGTGATCTCACCAAAAGTATCACAAACGCCGCGGAACGCGCCAATAGTGCTAGAAACCGTTCCACTTGACAGAGAAAAGCCGACGTTTGACGAAGACTTGAATTTTGATACCACTGTATCGCCGTCCCGAGCATCAATGTCCAATCCCTGTAGTCTAGAAACCCCATCCTCCCCACGTATGTTGAACACACCAAGAAGATCAGGCCGCGCTAAACACGCGCCAAAGTGCTTCAAAGACTATATTATGACAGTTCAGACTTCACCTGACTTCTGATTCGGTGTCCCTGCATATATACCATATTCTCTGTTCACGTTGTATCCTCTGACAATTGGACTCTACCATAACCTCCGATATAAACGTCTATGGTATTCCGCCTCTCCCCTTATTTAGTCTCCTTAACCTCACATCTAATGTTTGTGAACCTTTGGAAGTATCAGTCTTTGAGCATGTCCTACTTGACACTTACGTTGACATACAGAGGAGGGAGATATAGGATTACCACGTTTCATGTAATTCTTACTATTATGTCTCTCTCTTACCAGAGGATTACTATGCTTGATGTAATTCTTATTATTGTGTTTCTACCTCTTTCAGGTCTTGTTCATTGTCAGTAGACAATAAACGTTTACAGAACAAATAGATTCCATTCTTATTTAATTGAGACGTTAAAAAGTTTTTTTTTATAGAGTTAGGAGCTTTTTTTTCTTCATGCTATACTTTTTTGCGAAGTGTTGGACAAAAAACACCAACGATGAAATGTAGATTGTTGTTTTCAGTAAGAGAAGTTGCCGTCGAGTTTCTGAGAATAAATGCTCAACCTCCCATATTTTCACCAGAATGGGAAATTTCTTTTTTTTTCTCTCGAATTTTGTAAAATGAACATCAACATAGTAAAATATAGTGAGAAAAAATATGTATGCCGAGGTGTGAAAAAATCCTGAAAACTTAGATATCAATGAAACATTTCTTTCCCACTTAGCCACTACTTTTTTTTTTTTTTTACTAATATTTCAATTTGACAAATCATCTCTAGCAGCATGTTGCATATTTTGTCAATATAGATACATTTTTGAAAATTGGTGCTTTGAAAATAAGATGTGCAGTTTGATATCATTAGTTGGTTGATTAGTATTTTAAAACCAACTGAGATTTGTCGATCTTAAGAAATTCTTAAATTGTATTGAGTAAATTCTCACTTGCCGAAAGCAAAACTAAAAAAAGGCAGTATCGATCAAGAATAGTAGCATTTTTATGTCCCATTCTCATTAAACATGTCAATTACATTTTTCTTTCTGTTGCAGAACACCAGCTTCCAAGGACAAGCCTGCCTGTATCAAAAATTCATAATTGGAATAAAATCTTATTTTGAACACCGACTCCGAAAGCAGATTGATATCATTCATATACTCTTGTTGATTTTGAAATAAGACTTCATGAGACAAAGTTTAAGTGTTACAATAGGATATTTACTATTGCATTTCATTGAAAAAAAAATTAAATAATGTAAATGAAATATCTTCTTTGAAGTTAAATTTTGGTTTTACTTGAAAGATGACAGTCTAAAGTTAATAATACGTTAAAAAATCACATGTAAATATACTAGTAGTTTTTAGACATTTTTAAAACATTGGTATGGTCATTCATCTAAAAATTGCATTATAAGCGAAAATGAAAACAATAAATTTTAAAATATCTTAAAAATCCAATATCGATCAGAGATTTGTTTCGGAATAAATTAGTACGTAAATTCATAGCTTTTCAATCCTAAATTATTCAGTTCACTCGACATTAAAATAAAATAATTTTCTGGTAAGTAAAAATACTCATAGACGCCACTGTAACCAACCATCATGCACGAGACAATATGAAAAAATGTGTGGTGAAAAGAAATCAAACTGATGAAAAATATGAAAGTAAAGCAGCAGGTTCGATTTCAGCATAAAACAGATCAGTGTTCACCAAAAAATGGATTCGTTTTTTTTAAGCAAAAATCGCTGCGTCCCGTCTTAAGAATATTTGCCAAAACTCAAGGAATTATATTATCCGATTCAAACGAAATTTTCAGTACTTCATCAATGAATGAATTGTGAAACTTTTTAAAAATGGATGTTCAATGGATGTTCAGAAATGAATCCGTTCCGATTTACTTTACTGCCTTTGTGTGAATATTCTGCCCTATCGAAAGAGTTTCGATCAGTCTTAAATTCAGAATAATTAACAAAAAAAAAAAAGACCAAATTGGACAAATATTGTATTTGTAAGAGATTTTTTTTTATTTTGGTGTTTACTTTTTTTTCGTCTATAATGGCGGTTCGATGAGCGACGAGTGAATATGCCAATGTTTTAAAAATACCTAAAAACTTTATTTACATACGAAATTTAATTTTTCTTTTAATACAGATTATCTTTAGGCTATTATCTTTCAAATAAACTAAACTTTAACTTCAAAGAAGACATTTAAATTATCTAAAAATGATACTGGAATTTAACGGTCACACGTGGAATGGGCCAAATTGAGGGCCCAATCAGTGATATTGTAGAAGTCAGGTGGTACCCTCGGAAGGCCCCTATATAAAGTCCGACTCCCAGAATTCGGCCTCTTTTTCACTTTGCATTGACCTTGTTAGATTTTCTTTTGTCTCTCTGAGAATCTTTTGGAATCGCTAACGGTTGTTTTTCTGTTAAGTTTTGATTTATTTTTACCGTTTTTTCTTACGTTCTTTTTTACGGTTTTGTAAATTTTTGATTTTTTCCTTTTCAATTCCTTACCCTCCCCATTTTTATTTTTACTTTATTTTGCTATTATTCTTTTATTATATAATGTTTGATTTTCTCTTACAGTTTATTTTCCTTTTTAAATTTATTTTTTTCCCGTACCCACTTCCCAGAGTTTATCTGTTTATTTTTCTTCCTACGTTTTCCGTTAGACATTATTTTTGTTTGTTTTATTATTACGTGTTAGTTTTTGCTGTGTTTTTCTTTTTAAATATCCGTAAAGTTCTGTGTTTTATTTGTTAATATCTTCTGTAATGTATGTGTTTCTAAATTTTGTGTTTATTTTGTATATTCTGTCCATTTTTCTTCTTTCTTTGTTTATCGTTTTGTTTTAGGATTGACCGTTTTTTATCGGCAACCATATTGTAAATTGTTACATGTATCGTTTCGTATTTTATTTGTATAGCGTTTTCTTACCTTTCCTTGTATAACGCTTCGTTTTATTGTTTAATTTGTTGCTTTCTCGTCCGCTGTCTTTTTAATTTTTGTACGTTCTTCTGTTTTGTGATTGTTTTAAATTTGTTGTTTCGCCTTTAGGCGAAGCTTGTCCATTTGTACTCGTCTGTCGTACGTCGTTTTGTTTTGCGTTTTCTTTTTGTCTGTTTAAATTTGTTTAAATTTGTTTCGCCTTGTTTCTTTGTTTGTCTATTTAAGCTTTTGTACGTCCTTCTGTTTTGTGTTTGTTGTCTTTTAATTTTGTAGTCCCGCTTACGAGCGAACCTTGTTTATATTGCTTTAATTTTTTCTCGTCCGTCGTCTTTTTGTTTTTGTTTTTGTTCGTTTGACTATTTAAATTTCTTGTTCCTTGTTTATTTAATTTAATTATTTGTCTGTTTTTCAAATTTTTTTTTCATTTTTTTTCTCGCCGATAGGCGAAACTTAACCATTTTCCTATTTAACAGCCCTCCCCTTCCCTTGAAAATGGAAAAGAAAAGAGTCCCCTCCTTTTTAATCATAAAAAAAAAAGCCGAAAGTGGTCGACCTTAGGAGGTCGGTCAGGAAACATTTCTTTTCCATTAAAAAAGATAACCCCGATAAAGACAATCCTGAAGAATACCCGGCATTAGCTCCCGTTAATGAGGAGGTCGTTGGTAGACATGACAAGACCAATAATGACCAAACTAAAAAAAAAAAAAAATACGGTGGTCAATAATGGCCAAAAATCTGTATCTAAAAATATGAAAGCCAATAATGCCTCAGCAGCAAAAAATACGAGGCCAATATCGGCCAAAAAGATAATAACAAGACCAAAAATAACGTGGAGGCCGGGGATTCGCCCTGTTGTTGGAAATGCATTATCGATATAGCGGAGTTCTTGGAGCGTTCCAAGAGTTACGCACACCTTGTCGTAGAAGGTGAGCTCTTGCAGGACCCCATAGAACTAAAGAAGATCGAGAAAAGGATAGTGTCAGTCTTCGTCGTTGACAAGCGTTCGCGCAAAATTTGTCGTTCGACGAAAGACACAGTGGTAAAAACACTGGAGTCCCAGGGGTTTAAGCCACTAAGAATTGTTAAGGGCTCGGGCTTTTTCATGTAGGACGTATTGCTGCCCACACCCGAAGATTGTGTCAAAACAACAAGCAGAGAGATAATAACAAAAGATATAATTCTGCGAACCGGATATGAACGAAGGAGAAGGAGCAAGTAGCGATATACGAGGTCCCTCCTCAGGTTATCGGGAAACACATGGCGGATTTCTTGTCGCAGTATGGCGAAATACTAGGTGCTTCCTGCGATAGCTTGACCGGGAGATGGAGTTTTGACATAATGTTAAACCGAAAAGTCTTCTTCTCCATCCCCAACTGTCTGGAAGTAGGGGCCTGAAGCTGCCGATCATTGTGACCGGCCGCTTCAGCCCCCCTACTTCCAGACAGTTGGGAAAATCAAACAATTAAAACAAAAATTGGATAAACAAATGACCTCTTCAACTAAAAAGGTCACACCCACCACCTCCTCTACCTCACATTCTCA